TTATCTACCTACCTACCTATTCCTCTCTTATTGTCCTTTTTCCTCTCTCATTTCTCCTCCTCCTCTCGTGACGAGCGGCCGAGGCGTGGCCGGATAAGGAGGGAGGAGACGATTGAGGAGAGATAAGCTTGGAGCCGCTCGCTGGCCGTTAATGGGACACTTGATGCCAGGACCGAAGGGGGGTAGGGGGGGGGCGGGTGAAGCTGGTCTTGCATTGGCCGAGTTGCGTGGTTGTTTTGGTCAGGGGGGAGGGGGGGGGTGTCTGTGAGTGGGAGGGAAAGACGGAAGGAGAGAGAGAGGGAGGAGGGGAGGAAGGGAGAGGGAGAAAAGGAGAAGGAGAGAGAGAGAGAGAGAGGGAGAAAAGGAGAAGGAGAGAGAGAGAGAGAGAGGGAGAGAGACAGACATACAGAGATAGAAGCAGTGAACGAGGATGAGATTGAAAGAGAACATAGTCACCCATCAACAGATTCAGTGGCTCTCTATCTCTCCCTTGCCCAGATTATTGTCTGGCACCCCGGCGAGAGTGCCAGACAGTGCCATCCACAAGCCATCAGGATCATCATGCCGGCTAAATAGGCTGCGGCGCCCGTGTGTGTGAGTGTGTGTGTGTGTGTGTGTGTGTGTGTGTGTGTGTGTGTGTGTAACGTTAATATTCTCGTTTTAGGATTTTCCCGACCCAATATGGCGAAAGCGGAGACGAAGTGGCGCTTGGTTCATTCATGATTTGGAGGCCAGAAATAAAATCTAGTCGTTATGAAGTTTATACATGAGTGATAGTAAGATATATGTATATGTGTATATATGTGTGTGTGTGTGTGTGTGTGTGTGTGTGTGTGTGTGTGTGTGTGTGTGTGTGTGTGTGTGTGTGTGTGTGTGTGTGTGTGTGTGTGTGTGTACATGCATATATATATATATATATATATATATATATATATATATATATATATATATATATATATATATATATATATATATATATATATATATATATTATATATATATATATATATATATATATATATATATATATATATATACATATATATACATATATATACATATATATACATATATATACATATATATACATATATATACATATATATACATATATATACATATATATACATATATATACATATATATACATATATATACATATATATATATATATATATATATATATATATATATATATATATATATATATGTATATATGTATATATATATATATATATATATATATATATATATATATATATATATATATATATATATATATATATATATATATATATATGTATAAGATTCATAAATAGTGTGTGAAGTGAGAAGCATGCCGTTGCCAAATAAATAAGAATTGAAGTTAAGCAGTGGCAGAAAAAGAGGTTCTGGTTCTGCCATTCTGTTTTATTTTCTTCTTTTCTTTCTTTCTTGATCTCTATTCTTAAATGTCCTTCCTTTTTCAAATGTTTTATCAAAAGAAAAAACTTACTCTTCTCCATGGCACATGCAGTGCAGCCTCAAGGTGTGAATTGCAGTGACTTTTATGTCGGCCGTGTGGGTTTTATGGGTTGGGGGATTATAACCACGTCCATAACGCTTGTGAACATGAACTTGCACTCATATACAGGCTCCTGCCCCCCCCCCCCCTCTCTCTCTCTCTCTCTCTCTCTCTCTCTCTCTCTCTCTCTCTCTCTCTCTCTCTCTCTCTCTCTCTCTCTCTCTCCCTCCCCTCTCTCTCTCTCTCCCCTCCCCCTCTCTATTTTTCTCTCTCCCCCTCCCCTCTCTATTTCTCTCTCCCCCCCCTCTCTCTCTCTTCCTCCTCCTTTTCCTTCTCCTTCTCCTTCTCCTTCTCCTCCTTCCCCCATCCCTCTCACTCTCCCTCTTCCACACACGCAACGCCCCCGCACTGTCGCTTATTCACACCCGTTCCCAAAGGCTGTTTTGTGTGGTCTTGAGCGGTGGTTGGCGTTTACTCAGTGCTCAGTTTAACGCAGCCGACTGTTGACACTCATTGTGTGCGTGGGTCGGCTGGCTATGATTTGCATGCGTCCCATGCGGTTTCAATATAGGTGAGGAATAACATTAATGGGCGTCTGGCTAATTTGTTTGTGAGATGTATAGGGACGGGTAAGGTGCTCCAGGGCGTGACGCATGACGCAGCCTCGCAAGTGACGCATGTTCCTGAGCGCCGAAGTTGATTGAATGGCAAATGATAAGTGACGAAACGGGGCAGGTGGCGCGAGGCGTGACCCGCACAGGCGACGGGGTTTGACATGGTGGCGGATCATATGCTCGTCCAATAAGGGTCGATGACCTATCGACTCCGTGCTTGAAACCTGCACCTGCACGCTGACTTGTTGCTGTGCGTTCCCTCCGGCGGCGAGAGGGAACCGGCCGAAGAGACGGCACGCCCCGGGGGAATCCGCCAGGGACGGTTCCTCGAAGGGAGTGAGCGAGTCCCGGGACAACGAGGGGGCTTCTGGTGCGCCGGAAATTCCAGTGTTGAGAGGCAGGGGCTGTTGCTGTTCCGGAGCTAATAATCCATGATTGATAGAAGCCAGTCTGTGGGGCAGCGGCGTTCACCTCCGCCGTGTGTCTGTTTATTGTCTGTCTGGAGAGAGGTAGACATGAAGGGCCGCGAACAATCAGTTGAGTTTATATTTGTTTACAGTCGGGGAGGGGAAGGGTGAAGGGAGTAGGGGGGGGGGGGCACGAGAATGCTGAGTATGTTGGCCGCCGTGTATCCTGAGTCAGCCGCCCGGACCTTTGGGTGTGGTGACCGGCCACTTGGGGCGCCCGGATCACGTGAGTGGGGGGTGACGAGCGGTAAGTGGCCGTTGTGTGGGGGCTGGCAACGAGCGTAACGCTTCTTAGCCGCTCTGGTAACGAGGCGGTAATTTGGCTCCGCTTACTGACCCTGTGCATTTGTTTGTTTATGATTGCCATCGTCGGATGGAAATTTGATCAATGAATTTGAGAAGAATTCTAGGTTTAGAGGAATTATGCGTTGGTAGGCAATTAAAATATATCAGGTTAAAATGTATCAGGGAGGTTTTGAGGAAACGATGAAGAAAGTAAAGAAAAAGGAACGAAAGAAAGGGTGAGGATAGTCGATGGACCAAGAGAAGAGACCAGTTAAAAACGAAAATGTCAAGAAAAGGCAAAAGACAGATTAAAGAAAATCGAAGAAACACGAACTCTAATGACGAGGCCGAGAAACTCTTCGGTCAGGGTCAGAGGTCATTGTGTGATCCCGTTTGACCTGCTGGCTCGCTGGGTATAGTGGAGGAGGAGCAGGTCAGGTGGCCTTTAAACAGAAGGAATGTTAGTGACTCTAAATTTGCTTTATTACCCGGTCGTGTGCGAGATGGGAACAGAGGCTTTCGAGTTAATCTTTTCCTCGTTTTTTTATCCTTCTTTGTGCGTGTGTGGGGGGTCGGGAGAGAAAGACAGGATGCCACCAGGTCACGAGAGAGCGCCATCTTGATTCATTTAAGGTCCTTAATGTGAGTTCTAGTCTTATCGGCAGGAAGCATGTCCTCATTAAGGGAACGGCCAACTAGAAGGCTTTCTTGATCTTCTAATCTGCCGTCGTCGTCCTGCTCCTCCTCCTTCCTTCTTCCTTTTCCCGTCTTGTTGGAACCCCTGTTCGTTGAACACCTGTCCTGGAGACTCTGGGTGCATATTTGTGTGTTTGCGCGTTTGTGTGCATATACAAGTATACATGTATACATTCGTTCATTCATTCATTCCTTCATTCATTCCTTCATTCATTCATTCATATATATATACATATACACACATTCATACCTATACATACATTCATGCATACATACATATACTTACATATGCATACATACATATACATACATACATGCATATGCATACATACATATACATACATACATATGCATACATACATATATACATACATATGTATATATATCCATATTTATATACATAGTAACATCCATATAGTAACATACATACATATTCATACACATAAATACATACATACATACATACATACTTATACATACAAGCATAAAAACATACATACACATACATACAGACATGCACACACATACATAAAAAAATGTGTATGTGTGTGTGTTTATGTGTATGTGTGCGAGCGCGTGTTTTTTTTAAAGACCGGAAGGACCTTGCATAACAGGAAAACTATTTCCTCGATATAATGAATGCGTTGAGTCTACCCTGCTTCTCGGAGGCGATCGCCCCATATGCCCAGTGCGCCACCAGCGTTGCTGAGCCACAGCGACGCCCTTCAAGATTGTTACTTACGAAAACATATCCGTATTGCTGTGGTTCTTTGGTTTATTGCTCGATAAGCGTCCGCCTGTTGTGTGTGGTTAGTCTGGAACTGGAGTTTTTTTCTGGTGTTCTTAGCTATGAGACCACAAAGGAGTGCGTGTTCCGTTATTAACTCTGAGTCCAGTGACTGACCATAAATAAGAATGATTTTTAAGAATGTGGCAGAGACGGCTGGAATAATTTGTGCGAGACATGAAATACTTGTGCAAGGGAGTAAAAAAAGATGTTTGAATGGCAGTGACGAGACAGTGATAGACGTAGAGCTAGAAAAAAATATCCCATTGCGTGAAAGTTTTAAGATCCATATTGATTCCATGAAGCCGATGGCAACATTTATTTAACTGGGAGCAAGCAAGTCTTAATGGGTGTGGTATAGCCCGGGGGAATGGGGGAAGGGGGGAAGGGAGAGGGGAGGGATGACATAACCGGTGACTCGCAGATAGCTACGAGTCGCCGATGTGCATTGACACGTGTTATGTCATTCTGCAGTCACGAGCAGCGTGGGGTGCGTGGGCGTTGAAGGGCGGGAGGCGTGCGTGACCATAAACCAGGGTGAATTATGTATGCCTTAGGTATCGAAAACATGCGCTGTCTTGGGTTGAAATACGGGGATGCGCTTTTTCATCATTTTTGTTATTTGATATCTTGCTTCTGTTGAACAGGTAAATGAGATATGTGTTACAGCACAAGCATTGTGGAAAAGTGAAGTGTTACATGGATGAAATAAAAAAGTCAGACCTCATCAGAAAGTACTGAGTCGTGGTTAGTATTCCCTGAACTTTTTTCCGGTGTGAATAATTAAGACAAAAAAAAAATGAACGTCTAAGAAAAAAATAGACACACACGAGGAATGTTGACCCACGACACAGAGGTCACCAGGCTTGGATAAGTGGGCGCATGTCCGCCCTTTTTGTGCACCTTACCGGGTATGCGCGCGACTGTCCGCCACGAAAGACGCCGCCCATGAAACTGGCTCCTTCAAGTCGCTCGAACTCCTCCTCCGCCATGATCGTCACCGTCGCCTTCCCGCAGAACGGCTCCGCAAGGGCGGCTGCGGCTGCGGCCAATGGCTCTGCAGGTAAGTCCTCGGACGGGAAATCTCTCGCGCCCTTCGCTGGCCTCTTCGTTCGCCTGAAGTAGGGCTGAAGGGAATGGGAGTGAGCGGACTGGCTATCATTTGCATTGTGGTTTGCGGTTTTATTCTTTTTTGTTTGGTTTATTTATTTATTTATTTATTTATTTTTATTTTACGTCTAATCAAAGATACCAGCCGCGGAATGTACGAAGCAGAGCACAGGTCTTAACCACTTTGTATATTTCTCCTTCGTTCTCTCGTTCTCTCCTTAAACCTTCCCCTCCCTTCACCTCCCATACTCTCCCCGTCCTCCTCCGTCTCTCTCTCTCTCTCTCTCTCTCTCTCTCTCTCTCTCTCTCTCTCTCTCTCTCTCTCTCTCTCTCTCTCTCTCTCTCTCTCTCTCTCTCTCTCTCTCTCTCTCTCTCTCTCTCTCTCTCTCTCTCTCTCTCTCTCTCTCTCTCTCTCTCTCTCTCTCTCTCTCTCTCTCTCTCTCTCTCTCTCTCTCTCTCTCTCTCTCTCTCTCTCTCTCTCTCTCTCCGTCAGTCTCTCGATTGATGTGAACAATCATGTGTACTAAAGATTGTATATTTGGAATTTAAATAATCGTGAGTGCTAAGTATCCTTGAAAGGTTAAAACACAGGTAAAAAAAAGTAAATGTGTGCGTGTGTGTGTGTGTGTGTGTGTGCGTGTGTGTGTTTGTGTGTGTGAATGAAGAGAAAGATAAGGAATAATAAAGTAGATACAGACACAGTTGATAGATACTCACGATTGATGTGAACCATCATGTGTACTAAAGATTGTATATTTGGAATTGAGTGCTAAGTATCCTTGAAAGGTTAAAACACAGGTTAAAAAAAGAAAAAAAAAGAAAAAAAGTAAGTGTGTGCGTGTGTGAATGAAGAGAAAGATAAGGAATAGTAAAGTAGATACAGACACAGTTGATAGATACTCGAAATATAATTGTACAGCTATCCTGTTTCAGGCGAATCTTCACCTGAAGAATCGTTGTTGATTCTTTAATTCAATTTTGTCATTATTATCGCTGTGTTTGCTTTCGTTTGTACACACGCTGCCGTGGTTTTGTTTTTGTTGTGGAAGGATATACGGTAGTGCCACGTCTTGCTTGGGAGAGGTGGCACAGTGCCCAGAAGGTCCGGTGGGTGCTCTGACCCTTGGTTTGGCACTGGCTCTGTTGGTCATACAACACGACTCAAGCTTTGGGTTGTCTTGGGATGCAAAGGCTACTGAATGAAGCAAGGGCTGATTTGCAGTTGGAAGCTGAACGCGGTTGTAATGGAATGGAGTTTTACGATGGTAAATAAGGGGCGTATTTTTGTATATTTCTACTACTTTATTCATTCATTAATTATATAGAGACTGCATTGCAGGTGTTATTCACTGCCAGGGAATTTAGTGGGCGACTTTATTGTTCAGTCCGGAATACCTACCTTGTGTACCCCGCGTCATTTATCGCTTGGAGTCCCTTAAATTCTGTTTTTGCAAATTTTAGCTCTAGCGTTTTTTTTCCTCCTTTTTGTCCTGGCCGTTTTGAGAAAGATAAGAGGAAATAAATAAAAACTAACAAATTAGCGAGAAGGCGTGAGCGAGCTAGAGTTCGTGAAAGGCGCGCGTGTGGCCGACACCCTGCGGGCCCATTGCGTGGACACACCTACCTGAGGGGGTCTGTGTATTAATAGAAGCGGGCGATAGTCATGCACGTAATAACTAAGTTGCGTGCACGTGCGCAGGCTCGGTTTCGTGACGACGTGACATGAAGGCAAGCGCAGTTCGGCGTAACACGGATAAGGAATACGATAGTGCGAAGATTCACGCACGTGCTGTTGTCTTCCCTCGGTTCTTCGTTGCACTGCGGTGCGGGCTCTTCGGCGCTGTTGCTAGCATTGCAGCCAAGTTGAAGCCTAAGCTTGAGACAAGTACTAGCAGTACTTGTAGCGGGTATTTTTGAAGAGACGCTGGTAGGGGCGCGCGGTGTTGCCAACTTGCCGGAGATTGCTCGTCGGAGACGCTGCCACGAAGTTCACGAGCAGTTGCCCTACGGCGGGTCTTGGCCTCTCCTTCCCATCCTCGGCGCGGCGTTGTAGGGGGGGGAGGGAGAGGCGCTGGCATACCGAGCAACGCTGCCATTGATCAAGCAGCTGCTCACGCCATGCTTGCTTCTGCCTCCGTTCCCCTTCGAGACGGCGTGCTCCTCCTGTCCTTTTTCCGACTGCATTGCCTCGCCGCTCGATGCCCGGACCGCCGTGGGTCGTTCTGCCGTGCCGTCGACATTCGCTCTAACAATTTTTCCTTTATTATCAGGTTTTGTGAGTAATAGTTTGATAAAACGAGGCATAATTACGGATGTCATAAAGGAATATATAGTAGTTTATATTTTCTGTTACGGGTGATCGCGCGCGCGAGTGTGTGTGTCTGTGTCTGTTTTCGTAACTCGTAACTTTCACTGCATTTTATAACGGGTTTGTTCCTTCTTTCCTTGTAACTTTAATGCCTGTAAAGTTCTCTTCACGATATATTTCCAAAATGTTTTAGGTATCATCAGTTATTAATTTCTGTAATTTATAGTCGTTTGTATTGTGTACTTTAAAGATGTCTGTTTCAGCCCCCCTTTCTCTCTATTTATTTATTTTTTTCTCTTTCGCCCCTTACTCTCTTCTTTATGCCCCCCCCCCTCCCTCTCTCTCTCTCTCTCTCTCTCTCTCTCTCTCTCTCTCTCTCTCTCTCTCTCTCTCTCTCTCTCTCTCTCTCTCTCCTCTCTCTCTCTCTCTCCTCTCTCTCTGTCTCCCTCCCTCCGTCCCTCCCTCCCTCCCTCCCTCCCTCTCTCCTCTCTCTCTCTCTCTCTCTCTCTCTCTCTCTCTCTCTCTCTCTCTCTCTCTCTCTCTCTCTCTCGCTCTCTCCCCCTCCTTCTCTCCCTCTCTCACTCCCACGCTCTTCCCCTGCCTCTGCCCCTCCCTCTCCTTCCCCTTCCCCTTCCCTCGCTCTCCTCCTCTTCGCCCTCTCTCTCTTTCTATCTCTGTGTTTCCCTCTTTCAGCCCCCTCCCCGCTCTCACTGTGTATCGCTGCCTTCGTTAATTACATTATTTAATTTGAAGGAGGTTTCCCAACACCTCGATAAGCGGCGACAGCGTGACTGCTTCCATTGTTGTCTAAGTCGATGTTCAGAAAATAATATTAGTCTTGTTATTCTTTTAAAGGACCGAATGTCGATCGAGTGTCTTTTGTTTCTACAGAAATCGTTTTTTTTTTCTTTTACATTTTGCTTTCCTTTCATCTCTTTCGTGTAATTTCATACGTTTTTTGGTGGTGTGTACATGTATACTGCAAGACTCCGTGTGAATATTTAACTACTATACTGATTACGTAGTAACTTTCTTGATGAACTCGATGATGAACCTTTTTGGACTGAAAGTTTACTTATATATTTTTGTCAAGAGGAAAGACTCGTAAACATAATTTCGAAAATTATAGCTTGTTTCTTAGGTTAATAAAATGGCGAGCTTCAGTAAACAAGGAGTCCTCTTTGCTCTTCGTGTAATTATAATTAATATTGTTATTAAACCTTTATATATACTACACACACACACACACACACACACACACACACACACACACACACACACACACACACACACACACACACACACACACACACACACACACACACAGATATATATATACATATATATGTATATATATAAAAATCCTTTTTATTTTTTTATTTTTTATTATTTTTTTTTTATATATATATATTTTTTTTACTTTAGGAGTCTCATTTTTTTCTGGAATAGTGAATGTTGTGAAGGAAGTGGACAATGTGCACACATAACCCATAAACGTTATATTTTGCAAATGTGATGTCTTTTTCTGAACGAGCTTCTATCTTCCTCTGTCTTCGTCCCAGAATAGATAAAGTTCACCCTCTCCTGCTCCGCCGAGAGAGGGCACTGCCTCTGGATCCTTGCCCCGTATCAGTCGCGTGTGCCACCGCTGTTGGCGTAAACACGTCGATTAGAGTCCCAGGAAACGTGTCCAGAATCGAAATAGAAGAAATGGGAAAGGGGTGACGTGGCTGGGGGTGGGGAGGGGGGTGGGAGGGGGTTGGAGGGTTAGCGGGTCGAAGAAACACGTTTGCCGCTTGATTGGTAATAGATGGATATTGATATGCAATACGAGAGCTTTCCGATTGGGCTTGATTATTCATCTCGGCGACTCCGCGATAAGATGAGGAGAGTGCGATTATCGGGGAGGTGTGAGGATGCGTTCTCTGTCGCTGTCTCTTTGTCCCTCTGGATCTGAGTGTCTCTCTGAATCTTTGACTCTCTGGCTCATTGTCCGTCTTTGTCTCTCTCTTTCGCGATGTTTGTCTCTGCCTTGAAGTGTCTGATTGTGTCTCTCTCTAGCTCTCTCTTCCTCTCTCTTTCTTTCTCTCTTTCCCTCTCATTCTCTTTCTCCCACCTCCTCTCTCTCTCTCTCTCTCTCTCTCTCTCTCTCTCTCTCTCTCTCTCTCTCTCTCTCTCTCTCTCTCTCTCTCTCTCTCTCTCTCTCTCCTTCCTCCCTCCCTTCCTCCCTCCCTCCCTCCCTCTCTCTCCCCCTCCCTCTCCCTCTCTCTCTCTCTCCTTCTCTCTTTCCCCCTCATTCTCTCTTTCTCCCCCCTCCTCTCTCTCTCTTTCTCTCTCTCTCTCTCTCTCTCTCTCTCTCTCTCTCTCTCTCTCTCTCTCTCTCTCTCTCTCTCTCTCTTTCTCTCTCTCTCTATTTCTCTCTCTCTCTATTTCTCTCTCTCTCTCTTTCTCTCTCTCTCTCTCTCTCTCTCTCTCTCTCTCTCTCTCTCTCTCTCTCTTTCTCTCTCTCTCTCTCTCTCTCTCTCTCTCTCTCTCTCTCTCTCTCTCTCTCTCTCTCTCTCTCTCTCTCTCTCTCTCTCTCTCTCTCTCTCTCTCTCTCTCTCTCTCTCTTCTCTCTCTTTCTCTCTCTCTCTCTCTCTCTCTCT